TTCTTACCAGAAGGCAAGTACCTATCTAATGAAGTTATGCTGTAAGGGTCAACGTTGACTAGTTATCAAAGAAGTAATACAACTTTTTCGCGTATGAAATTGAATATAATAATAGTTATCAATACAGCTGCAGAAACAAGATCAAATTTTGCTACCAATGTAACTAGCTAGATAAACCGTAGTGTTGAAGTATATAGTACGAGTATCCATTCTGCTTTGGTGATTTATGGAACTTAGCTTAGCTTATGGCGCATTCTGGTAGGTGGAGAATGTCACTTGATATCCAGCTATTCCTTATTGAAATTTCGGCTAACAAGTTTCTACGAGGTCGAATGCTCCATATTTGATAAAACTAGCATTTACTCAGTTTCTAACAATAATGGAAATGTGATGACTACAAGCTTTTTATTAGCAAAGGCTTGGGGTAATCCTACAATGAGATCTATCAAATCGGGCACGCCGCTACTCAATTAATATAGAGATCGAGTTCATTGAAAAAGATCATAAAGTCAGATCAAATGGGTTCTGCTCTAAATATAGAATTCATATTGAGCAGATGATAAAGGTTTTAAAGTTCCCTCATTACTGTACAATAGAACATAGTTGAAATTCTTACAATTTTCATGACATGGTGTTAATACCACACCTCACAAAGATTTATATGTAAAAAACTGCATCTCAAGTTGATGCAGTCCTCTAATTTGGAACTAATTTCCCAGGCAAAACTTACCACGATCTGAATATCGAAAGATAATGCCGTATCAAAAAAGCAATGAAAATACGATGTGAGCCATTTCCTTGTCTAGTAGGAATAACAAGGCATGAATCCAATATTCTTAATGTCTAAGCCTGAAATGGATTTATTTTCTAATGTATTTAGCTTCGCGTCCGCCTTGAATTCTTTAAAGATTGGTGATGGCCACGAATCCTGTACCTTGCTTGACCAATGATACTCGTTAGTGTTGATGTTTTCCGAATTCGTAAATTTGTCTTCTGGATTTGGAAGTTGGTGTGTTTACAAATATGGCTTAATTTTCAAAGCCTGCTTTATATTTTTTAACTTAATAAAAATCTCGTATAAACTTAGTGTATATAGGGGTATGCGGTAAAGTTATAAACTTACTCAGATCAATGTAATGGCGATGGCGGCAATAACAGCTAAGAATGGAACCATCTTAGCGGAAGAGGCCATACCTTCGTAGACTGGAATGGTTTCGTTGGAAGCATTACCAGAGCCTTGAGTGTAATACATAGTAGACACAGAAGAAACAACTGGAGCACCAGATGTAACAACTGGAACACTAGATGTAACAACTGAAGCAACAGTGGTTGCTGGGATGCTTTGATGGCAAACGTCTTCGGTGCATGTAACGGTGACTACAACAGTACCGTATTCAGTAGTGTAAGTGGTACCTTCTGGAGCGACGATTCCAGTAGGTTGAGCGTGGTGACAAACATCCTTAGTACAAGTAACAGTAACTACTTCAGTAC